GGGAGGGGCAGGAGAGAGGGAGACACAGAATCAGAAACAGGCTCCAGGCTCTGAGCCATCAGCCCAGAGCCTGACGCGGGGCTCGAACTCACAGACCGAGAGATCGTGACCTGGCTGAAGTCGGACGCTCAACCGACTGCGCCACCCAGGCGCCCCTAAACCTACTTTAATATTTTAATCACTGTCTGGTTTGTAGAGTTAAATGGCATGAAAATAAACTACTTTAAAAGATATGAACTATATATTACTTGGCAACCAAAAAGAATGAAATCTTGACATTTGTAACTATATGGATGGAACTAGAGGGTATTATGCTAAGCAAAATTAGTTGGAGAAAGATAAATATCATATGATTTCACTCATCTGAGGACTTTAAGATACAAAACAGATGAACATAAGGGAAGGAAAGCAAAAATAATAGAAAAACAGGGAGGGGGACAAAACATATGAGACTCTTCAATATAGAGAACAGAGGGTTGCTGGGGGGGATGGGGAAGAGGGGATAGGCCAAATAGGTAAGGGGCATTAAGGAATCTACTCCTGAAATCATTGTTGAACCATATGGTAACTAACTTGGATGTAAATTAATAAATAAATAATAAAAAAAGAAAAAATAAAAGATATGAACTATAATTCAATCTTTTAACGTTACGCCTTAATTTTATATTCTTTCTTAGTGCTCCTATACTACTTTATTGATTTTTCTTTTCATTGTATTCACCTCATGTTATGATTAGTTTTCGTGGTTAAGAGCTTTAACTGCCTGAATTCAGTCCCAAGTCCATCACTAACTGGCATGTAGCCTTGAACAAGTTTCTTAATATAAGGTTTATTTAAGAGCTTTCCTCCTTTATAAAAGAGGTATCATCATAATACTTTCCTCATTCATAAAACTGTGAGAATTAAATAATACTTGTAATGCACTTAACACAGTGCTTGGGAGTAAGAATTTATGTTGGATGATGGCTGACTATTACATTAGATTGTAAACTCCTTGAAGGCAGGGATCAGCCCTGCCTTAGAAAACTTAGTACAGAGCATGGTACTTAATATATTTAGTAGGCCATGTACATTGAATTTATATCTGTAAAGTAAAAAGTTGTTTAACTTCTTTCCAACAGTTTTAACGCAGGCTAAGCGTTATGCTTTTTTCATGCCAACTCTGCCAAGTTTGGTCTCTTTTTGTCGAGCATTTCCTCCCCTGTATGAGGATATTATGTCTTTGCTGATCCAAATAGGGCAAGTCTGTGCCTCTGATGTTGCCACTCAGACAAGAGACATTGATCCAATTATTACACGTAAGTAGTAACTTATTTTCAAAGTTGTTTTGATATATCAAAGAAAAAGGCCAAAATCCTTTCCAGATTCCTTGCCTTAATTAATTCATTTTTTTTTTCCTTATGTTTCTAGGTCTTCAACAAATAAAGGAGAAACCGAGTGGATGGTCTGGAATCTGTAAAGATCCATCTTACAAAAATGGATCTGGGGACACTGGAAGTATGGATCCTGACGTACAGCTCTGTCATTGTATTGAAAGCACAATAATTGAAATAATAAACATGAGTGTTAGTGGAATTTAAAAAAAAAGTAAAACAAAAAAGTGAAGCTGTTTGCTGCATATACTCAATACAAATCTGCATCTTTATAACAACTTTAAACTGAATGGGAACAGTAACGTCTTGGAATCATTAAACGATTCATTTCAACATGAATATAATTTAGAACTCTCTTAAGAATTGTGCTTGCTTGTATTTGATTGGCAGTTCTTTGGATCTACTTTGCTGGTATGTTTATATTGTAGCAGCAGAGCTTCTTTTGTTGTTTTTTGTTTGTTTGTTTTTTCCTATTGGGAGCACATTTAAGAAGTCCTTATTGGAAGGTGAATTTGGCCTTGTATTTAGCATTTGCAATAAAGGAAAAGTGCCATGCCTTTAACTTAATTTCTTATAAAGATGAGTGGGTAGCCCTAGTTTATGGCTGTCAGCTCATAACAGTGTAACAATGATGCAATGATGAGAGGGAGAAAAAGGGAAGGGAGACTTCAGGAAAAATTAGTTTAAATACCTGATAGAAATTGCTAAAACTTGCAATGCAAGTAATTACAGATGAGAATTTTAAGATTTTACATATTTGCTTCAATTTTTACTAATATGTAGACATATGTTTAAAGAGATACTTGAATAATTTGGAATTTTAAGATACTGGTTTAAAAGAAACATCTTTGTGCATAGAAGAACCTGAAAAGAGATCTCATTTCATTGTTGTTTTTTTTAATTTATTTTATAATGCTTTACTAACTTACCTAGGGGTCAGTGGTGGGAAATACATTGGTATCTAATTAAAGTTTAGGGCAGTAAAACGCACTAGATTGAAGTGCTCTTGGTGTACCATTAGGATTATAATTCATATCTTAATTTTAGAAGATTTCTGAATAAAAAAATAAACAGTATTTCAACCTAAGGAAAAATTAAAAAGTGTAAAGTACCATGTGGGTGAAGGATTTTGCAGTTGTGTTAGTAACTTCCATTGATTAGGCAGATGCATTCAGGTAACCCATAATCCTAATTTTTCCCCCCTTAATTAAATATCCAACATAGAAGGTATTTTTCTTTGCTTTCTGAGAAATACCTGAATGACACACTCCTCCCAACCTCTCCAGTCCCCTGCTTTGAAACAGACCTCTTCACTTGTATAAGAAATTAGGTAGACTAATAAGAAAGTGTGGTTTTTTAAGAAAAGAAACTTAACCTTAGTCTTTTCAGTAGTGTATAGGCACATCTCATTTTCCTCCTTTGTAAAATGGAATTACTACTGGCCCTACCTCATAAGGGTATTCTATGAGAACTAATTTGTAGCTATTTCAAATCATGAAGTACACAGCATCACAGATGATAGAATATTTATACCTTTTATTAGATGCTTAATGTTCAATTAAGTAATTTTGGTGCAAAAAGTAAAAGCATACACTTAAAAAATACCGTAAGAATTTTCATATTTTTAAAGAAAGCAGTTTTATAGTCTTTTAAGATTAAATACAACTGCTCCTGTTTTGTTTTGTTTAGTTTTTAAACAGAGGCTTTGGCATATTTTGTGAGTACGTAACTTCTAGGAGTTCAGAAAATGTTGAAATGTTTTCTAACTAAATGCAGTGCACATTCCTGGATCAATTTTCAAAGACTGGTCAAAACCTGCTGTGTTAAAATAACATATGCTGTTTTTCATCAGATTTGTTGATGATGTAAATAAAATGTGTAAATATATTAGTAAATGTTAATATTCATGTATTTTAAGTTAAGGTTAAGATTTGTCACAATGTGATTTTTTTTTATTCAGGTGAAAACAGAAGTGTGCAACTATTTTGAATATTGGTTTATAAACATTCATATTCTTTATCAAATGAATTTGTAGTTTTTGTGTTTCATTTCACTGCAGCTAACTTGAAAGGGACATTTCAAGGTACTGGAATCTAGGGGTCACTGGCTCCAGGGTTTATGTGTGTCCCTTTCTGTTATGCCACATACATCAAATGACAATACAAAGTTATAGTCAGTTGAGAGCCTTAGGAATTTAGGAACAGAAAATCAGAATAATTACCTTGGAGCAGTTACTTAAAAGATTGGATATTTAAAAAATATTTTAAATTAAAAGAAATTAAAAACAATTTGTAAATGCAGAATAGCAATTTGAAGGTATTTTAAGGACTTATTTTTTATATATTATCCTTCATTCCACTGTCTTAACAAATTACATTTTTTGTACTTTCCCTTCATCTTTGCTTATGCACACATATTTGTCATATAATGGAAGTAGTGGTACCCACTAATGGTATACAGTTTGGAGTCTGCTTTTTTTCATTTAATTTTATAGGAATTGTTTTTTGCAAGTTGTTTAATTTTTATAATTACAATTCATAGTGATTTAGTTTTATAATTATTGGCTTCATGATGATTGAATTGGTATAACCATCTTCCTATTACTATACGGAAGTTTATTATTTTTTTTCAGTACTACAATAGGCGCTGTTATCAACTGAGGTATTATTACTTTTTCTTAATTTTAGATTACTTATTTAGGATAAATTTATGAGTCTGAGAGGGCCAGATTGAAGGGTAGAATTTTTTTTCATGACTGTAAGTATTGTCATTTGGGGACGATGTAGTAAAAATGAAAGGCAAACAAATCCTGCTGCTCCCTCCTGGAGCAAACCTCTCTCCCAAACCAGTTTCTCGAATTTGAGAAAATGTCTCAGGTTTTGCTTTTTTTGGACACTAGTATTTTAATCAAGTTTCAGGCTATACAGAACTTTTTAAAAATAACAATTCAGAGGGATCATGATTAACCTACTTTTGAGGAACTTTAAGTGTACTTCTTGTCAAAGAATAAACTGGCCTTTAAGGGCCAGAAGGTGGATGAGCCACAATAGAAGGTAGAAGTTACCTGGTGCTCGAAGACCTAGAGAGCGTTTGTCTGGTTTAATTTGTTATCGGAGAAAGCCTTGAATATTATGAGATACTGTAGCCGGTTGTCATCGAACTTTTTCTCCTGGTTTGGCTCAGTCTGGCAATTCCCGCTTCAAGTCTCTATACCCTGACTGCTTATAAAGTTAGAATTTGAAGTGGCACTGATGAGTGCTCGAAGAACTCGGCAAGACTTAAAGGTGTTTTCTCTGTTAGTCTACAGACTTTAAGAATACAGACTTCGAGTTTCCAAGAAAGCTATACACAGGTTAAATCACCGGTTTCAAAAAGTCAAGAGAACTCTTTTCCTTTAAATCCCTGAGATTTGGACGAGTCGTTCACGCTTTGGGTAGTTCCCCTTCCGGTGTCGCCACTTACCTTGGGCCTACTTTTATTGCGGAGGCTTCCATTGGATGCCAGAGTCCTCGCCTCCCTAAACTCCCGCCAGGACTGGTTGTTTCATTTCTGGTCTTGGCGTCTGATTGGTTGTCTGAGCTCGTCCGGCGATTGGATGTCGGGAGTTAAGGGGTGGGAGGCGGGAATTCGTCCGGGAGAGCGTGGTTGAGGAGACTGATGAGGGTTGGAGGGGAAAGCTAGAGCCGCCCGGAGCCCGCGACCGGGCATGGGTGGTAGCAGCCCCCTGAGGGAGAGAAAGAGGCTTGTGACCTTCTTTGTCAGCGCTCCACTGTATTTTTTTTTTTTTTTTGCGGATATAGCTTTCCTTTTCTTCTGTGAAGGAAAAGCTTTCCTTTTCTTCTGCCTAGCCCTGTAGGCGTTTCTTCGGTTTTCCCCTGGACAGGCAAGTCTGTCTCCCTTGCCCGGGAGTGCGCGAAATCTGCGGGAAGGCTGCTTCCGCTTTCGCCCTACCGCCTTGCTGGCTGGTCGGTGTTGATTGGATCACGGGGCGTCTGGAATCTCTGCGGGCTGAGGGAGGAGGAAAGTATGAGGACGGAAACCTGGGGAGAAGGGGAGCCTGTCCTCCCTTGATGGGAGCGGAGGCCCGTTAGGCGGCCGGGAGCGACAGGCAGATACTTGTGGTTTGTTTTGGTTTTGTTTATTTTACTCAGTGTGCGTGGGAAGCTACCCCATTTTGAGATGCCTGTTGCCACAACTGGGGCGGGGATGGATTGATTTGAAGGTCATATCTGAGTAACTAGACCAGCTTTGAGTTGTTGGTTCAGATTAAGGGGTTAGATTCCACCAAATTTCATTCTCAGAGCTTCACAGAATCACAAGATATTAGGACTGGAAAATACTTTAGAATTGTAGTTCTTCTTTTGGAACACATAGGCTATGGTTAAGGTTATAATTGGTTTTCTAATCTATTACACTGTTATTTCAACCATCCCTTCATCCCCAGTTTGAGTTTACAAGTTTTTTTTCACTATTGCAAAGTGGTACCGATGTATATCAGTCCCTCCCTACTCCGCCCCTTTTCAGTTATTTCCTCAGGATATATTTCTGGGAATGAGAAGTCTGTAGACCCTTTTTAGAAAAATTCAGTCATGCACAGAAACTTCATAGATCCCAGTTTCTGGATTATATATGTCTAGGTTAAGAAAAGGTGGTTTAGAATTGTATCTATGTATCTTAGGTTAAGAAAAGGTGGTATAAAGTAGATCATTTCCTCTGTGTACCCATAGTGAAGTTTGGGTACATTTCTGTACATTGTTATTCTTAATTCAGTGCCTGGCTAATTTTCATGAAAACCCGATCAGGTGGGTAGTATTATTTCCATTTCACAGATGAAGAAATAAGCTCTGAGAGGTTAAGTGATACACACAGAGGAATTTAAATGTAGGTTTGCCTTACTCCAAACTCATCTTTTCATTATACCCCCCTGACCTTTAAATAAGAATTATTGGGCACCTACTAAGTGTCAGGCCATTGTTATTACAGATAAGGATCTTAGTCTATAGAAGTGAAGAGACATGATCAACGTAACATATCTGAGTTGTTTTCAGAACCTGGTCTAGAACCTGTACTTTTCTAGTTCCTAGTCCACAGCTTTGGCAGAGCATGGATGAAAATTGACATTTGTCAGATTCCAAGACATGCTCTCAACTGTTGTGATTTATAAGACTAGGAAATTTTTTTACTTCCATTTGTTTAAACATTTATTCCAATTTTTATTTCCAGACATCTGTCCTAATGTTGGGTATCTGGTTTTCTTTGAATGGTGTTGTTTCAATATTGATTTTCATTTCTGTTGCTGTTAGGAATCTGAAGTAAAGAATAAAGCATGATGGCTTCAATGTGGTCTGAATATACAATCGGTGGGGTGAAAATTACCTTTCCTTATAAAGCTTACCCATCACAGCTTGCTATGATGAATTCTGTAAGTATTTTTTTTTAATGTTTTATTTATTTTTGAGAGAGAGAGCATGAGTGAGGGAGGGACAAAGAGAAAGGGGGACAGAAGGTCCCAAGAGGGATATACCCTGAGAGCAGCAAGCCTGATGCAGGGCTCGAACTCATAGACTATGAGATCATGACTTGAGCCGAAGTCAGACGCTCAACCAACTGAGCCACCCAGGCGCCCCCTGTAAGTATTTTTCAATAGTTATTTTAAGTCTTTATTAAGATACATATGTTTATAATTCATAAGGCTACATTCATTTTCTCAGATAATAAATGGATTGAAAATATTTGCCTGCTTTGTTGAAGAACATCTAACCCTTGGAAAAATAATACCATGCTAAACCATATATGTCCATGGATATAATGGAGGCAAAGGAGAACATTCTGAAAAATATTCTCAGCTCATTTGGAACTTCTATTTACTTTGCAGAATTACTGCTTTCTATGAAGTATTTGCTGTCTATTACACAGACTAGTATATTTTTTTGAGACTGTTCATATAGGCAATATGCAAACTTAAGGAAACCAACTGTGTTAAATCTTAATATTTTACTATATTTACTTTATACCTTGTTTACAAGTGTAATAAGAGTATTTTACGTAGTTTAAATGTTACATAATGATACGATACTATACCTATCTTTGTGCAGAACTTTTTTTTTCTCTTGACATATTTAAAATGTCGGCCTGGTGATTGTTAATCCATTTTACATGCTATATAGTATTCCATTATATGAGTATACCAGAATTTTTTTTTCTATTTTCCTTTTGATAGACTTCTAAATTGTTTACATTCTCTAGCAATTATAAACAATGTTGCTATGAACTTTATTATTCATGTTTCCTTGTGTTCGTGTGGGTAAAATTCGGAGTATATACATAGTACTGTACATGGTAGAGTTGGGTATCTTCAACTTTATTAGGAATCATTAGTTTTTGTGCAAAGTGTACAGGGGTGCCTGAGTGGCTCAGTTGGTTAAGCATCCAACCCTGGGTTTCAGCTCATGTCATGATCTCACAGTTCATGAGTTTGAGCTCCGTGTTGGTCTCTGTGCTGCCAGTATGGAGCCTGCTTGGGATTCCCTGTCTTTCTCTGCCCTTCCCTCACTTGCGTGCTCTCTCTCTCTCTCTCAAAATAAATAAATAAACTTAAATAACAACAATAACAACAGAAACCAAAGTGGTTATAACAGTTTACACTGCCATGAGCAGTAGCCTCCCTTGTTTTTATCAAAAATATTCATGTACTATATTCTAGTTTTACAGAAACCGTTAAGGCACAAATTGCTTTTTTTCATTTCTTTTTTGCTTGATATGCTTTTTAGGGCCATCATAATTTTAGGGAGAGATACAAAGGAATAAAGTTTAGATTTCACTAAACATGGGTGCTTGCTTCTGCTCTTGCTGTGCTCCCTTAAGTACAACCTTATTTCTCATTGTTGTATTTGTACTTCTCCTGGAGAGATACCCTATGAAGTAAATTGCTTACTGATTTTTTTCATTGTTTTTGTGTCCATAGATTGTCAGAGGATTAAATAGTAAGCAACATTGTTTACTGGAGAGCCCTACAGGAAGTGGGAAAAGTGTAGCCTTACTTTGTTCTGCTTTAGCATGGCAACAATCTTTTAATGGTAAGTAGTTGTTGATATTTTCAGGTTCCTTATTGGGACCTGAAAAAAATATTTTAATAAATTACTTTTTATCCTGAACGGTTCAACCATGTTCTAGCTAATTTAAGTGTGGATTCTCTTTTAAGATATTTCTTTATAAGTTAAATATCTTCCAAAAGAGTTTCAATAGAGCAAAATATGTTCAGTTAATTCTAAAACAATTTTGAGCATAATGTAGTCCTTTATTTGATGATTCATAGTATGCACAGGAATCTTGGAATGCTTAGAGTTATCATTATGAAAATGATTATGATACTCTGTATTTAAAAGATGCAAGAGATTGGCCTGTAATGGTGTATAATATACACAAATAATTTGAGTAAATCCTTTAATGTATTTGCTTATCTGTCCCTTCCTCACAACATTAGAACATGGAATATATAAAGGAAATATTCTAATCGATTTTTCTACTTGTTTGGATGTTATATAAGCAAAAGTTTATTGTAATATTGTTTTCATGAATACATATTTTTTTTCCATTACTTTTATTTGCTAACAAAGGCCTAGTATATTGACTTTTATAAAAGACTAGCTGATGTACATAATGAATCCGAAATGCAGTTTTGGATATGTTTTAGTTACATAATTAAATGGATTTGACCTAAAGTATTAGGAGAATTTAAAGTTAACCAGGAGTGTGTGTAGGTATGTATATATGTTTTTATGCGTGTGTCTTTTGAAGGGAAATCTACTTATAAGACTCTTTTTTTTTTTTTAATTTTTTTTTCAACATTTATTTATTTTTTGGGACAGAGAGAGACAGAGCATGAACAGGGGAGGGGCAGAGAGAGAGGGAGACACAGAATCGGAAACAGGCTCCAGGCTCTGAGCCATCAGCCCAGAGCCTGACGCGGGGCTCAAACTCACGGACCGCGAGATCTTGACCTGGCTGAAGTCGGACGCTCAACCGACTGCGCCACCCAGGCGCCCCTACTTATAAGACTTTTAAAAATGAACAGTAAATATTTTATAACTTTTGTTCATTCTGATTGTTACTGATAATCTTTGGGGAAAAATGAGATAATCTGTTAATAATTTAAAATTTTAGTGGGAGACCAAAGAGTAGAATTAGTAGTATTTATGTAGTACAGATGGGAAAATAATGTCATTACTGCTTATAGAGAATAATTATTCACCTTTTTTTTTTTTTTTTTTAGTGTCTATGAATTGTGTATTTATACATGTAGGCACACAATGTAGACCAATTACAATTTTGTATTTTATTTAAGTATTAAAAATTACCTGTTTTTTTTTTTTTTTTT